TGAGGACACTACCACCAATAGTATACCCTTCCTTGACATGCGTGTCATCAGAATGGGAGATAACACCCTAACCACAAGTTGGTATAGAAAATCAATGGCCTCTAATAGGTTCCTTAATACCATTCCTGTCATCCTATGAAATATAAACTAAACCTGATAAAAGCTTTAAGCTTTAGATTAAATAAATTGACACATCCAATTAATCGATGGGAATCCTTAAGTTTTGAGAAATATTCTAATAGAGAATTCATATCCTTCCTCTATCATCAATAAATACCTTTATTCACATAGTTATGGATCCTCATTTTATGACATACCCGATGGTGGACCAACTTATAAACATCTCTAATAATTCTATAATAGCACTGTTCTGCATAATACCGATCTTGAGAATACTATCACGCATTACTCTTCCTTACCATATTTCCTCAAGTTACTGAGAAGCTTATTAAATTGTATAAACAAAATAATATACCTGTTTAAAATTGCTGTTAAGAATGAAAAAAACTGTTAGAAATTTGTTCTCTAAAACAAAACACACCTTGTCCACTTTGGAACAAGTGAACACAATTTATAAAATTCCATGCGCTAATTGCGATCTTTGTTACATTGGGCAATCTGGTAGATCATTGAAAGGTCGTCTCACTTCACATCGTAGCGACATTAACTTATCGAAACACACTTGTGCTCTAGCACAACATGCGATAAATACAAACATGAAGTGGATTTTAATGAAGTTAAGATTCTTGCCACTGAACGCAATCTAGCGAAAAGACAGTTTTTGGAAATGTGTTCAATATTAAAACATCCTAATGCATTGAATAAGAGAACTGACATAAGTAACTTGAGCCAGATATATCATGCTTTAATTTTGCAGAATTAGGCTACTTAATCTTTTCACTACATTAATGTCATATTAGGTGTACTAGTTGAACTTTTTTCCACTTTTCATAAAATAATTTACATACATAAATAGAAATAAAATAAATAAATATATCAATTAAATAACTTAATTTCTTTTACTTAGTTTACTATTACATATGCAACCCATATTGCATTTCATTACACTAAATTCTTTGATTAGAGTTTTAAATTATTTATAAAATAATACAAACATTGTAAATGATTCATAGAATCCTTTACAAATCACATCTCCAAGTATATTGAACCTTGGGCTGTATGGAAATTTAATATCGTTAATCACCTGACTATTTAAACTTGCCACATGATTAACGTCATTACATTATTATGAGTTTGAATGCAAATCTCCGGTTTGTAAATTTGGGCCGGTTAGTGAGGGGAGTTGTGTGTACACTACCAACTTTTTTCACTGTTGTTGTCCTTTACAACCTGGTAGTCATCCAGACTCAGTTATAAAATAAAAAAAATTAAATTAACCGCCCAAAATTATGGGTTGGTATTTACACCTTGTTGATCTGTCAAAAGTAATTTTGACCTCAAGGTTGGCTGTCTTTTTGCGGTTAGTTCGTTCCTGTTTCATCTAACGCCATTTTCACGGCGACATCCATAAGGCTTTGATCGGTAACTTTATATTCACTATTTTGTAGAAATTTTATTAATATTACTTATATTGCTACCTAAAGTTAAAATCAAAGTTTAATATCCATTAAATAGTTGGAGGTTTATTTATGATTTTCTTGGTTCTTTCTCACTTATTAACATAAATAACATTGATTTATTTTGGACCACATGGTCAATTGCTGTGCTAATTTTTGTACAAGTTCATTATATGTTGTTAGTTGCTTAACTGTTTATACAAGATCAGCGTACTATGTCCATTTACTTAGTTTCATTCACATATTTGTTAATAACATTGACTGCTACATATCTTTTAAGGTAACAATTAACATCGTTTCCATGATTGTGTGGTTTCTCATATTGTAATAATTTTTTAGATGAACTGATGATGCTTTCAAAACTCGAAAGCGAAACGTCTTCAAAATAGATTAAGTAGCCTATCAACTTTGTCTTTTATTTCTCCACCTAGAGACCGATATAAGAACCCACCACTCGTCTGAGTGATCCTTATATATATATTGGATTGACGGTCGTACTCCTTTTTCCGATATTTATATATATTAATATATATATATATATATATATATATATATATATATATATATATATATATATATATAAATATATAATATATATATAAATATATATAATATATATAAATATTATAATATATTTATATATATATATTATATATATATATGATACATATATATATATATATATAAATATATATATATATATATATATAAATATATATTATATATATATATATATATATATATATATTTATATCCGGTTTTTTTAGGCGTTACGCCTGTCCGGTAGGGATCTATGGAGGAGTATCACCGAGCGCAAGCCCTTATCTCTTGCCGTACTGCTCCACCATAGGCCGATCAGATCCCAGCATGTCCTAGTCTAAGCCGCAGATTCATCTAGTATTTTAAACTGCTGCGTTAGACTTTTTGTTTTCTGTTACACGAGTTGGGCTCGATCCCACATCCACTCTAACCATTCGACAGTGAAGCGAATGAGAGGCTAGCGCACAGCCCGCTGAGCTATCTGACCGATTATATATATATATTTATATATATTATATTATAAATATATATTTTATTACTTATATATATATATTGATATATATATAATATCATATATATATTATATATATATATATATATACTATATATATAATATTTTTATAGATATATATATATATATATTATATTAAATATATATATATATATATATATATTTATATATTATAAAATATATATATATATATAATATATATATATATTATTATATATATATATATTTATTTATATATATATATATATATATATATATATATATATGACTAATACTATTCAGATTGATTAGCTATTATTACAATAAGAAAACAGATAGAACAGAATTCAAATTAAATCGAATTTTACTTCGTGCGCCGCTAATGCAGTGGCGAATTATCTTAAGGCCAGACGTCTGTCTTGTACACACTAGATGACTAGAATAACTCTTTAAGGGATTTATTTAATAACTGGATTACATACCTTTGCTTAATCTACTAAGCAAATGGAATCCAACGGACATACTTCCAGCACTTTCTCCAGAAACTGTTATTTTTTTGGGATCACCTCCAAATTTATGGATATTGTCGTTTACCCATTGAAGAGCTAGATGTTGGTCCTTAAGTCCTAAGTTTCCAGGTATATTTTCATCAAGTGTTGTTAAAAATCCTGAAAAATAAGTATAAATATATTTTTATACTACAGAAACATCGATGAGTTAAGCAATTTTAAATAATTTTTTGAGTGGATTGCCAGCAGCTAGTCAACGGAATTTTTAAATCAAGTCTTAATATAATTAATAAAAATTTATACAGTCTTAGTATTATATTATTTACATACTCCAGTAAAAACAACAATTAAATGAATGAATAAAGTCCATAAACCATTCATAAATGTTAAGAACATGAAACATCGGACTACTGCGCTTTTAGAAAAAAAGTAAGTTTAGAAAAAACTAAATGGTACAAAATAAGAAATAAACATATAAAAGTATCTAAAAATAAAATTTAAATAAAGAAATTAGAAGATTATAGAAGATTAGATTCGATTAGAAGATTAGAAGAACGTAAATGGATTAAGATAAAAATTATTATAGAAAATTATGCCAATGGACAGAAAAAGAACAAAAAATGGACGAAATAAATATGATAATATACACGAAGACGTAGATAATAAAAGAGATTTGAGACGTTATACTTAAAAAGCATAATAGAATAATGAAAAACTAACAAATCAACACAATCAAAACTTATTACAAAAATATCTATTCTATATTTTTTATTTGTGCAATACTTGGAAACTCTTTTTTGAACTATGATATATTTAGCTTTATAAATAACTACGTGGTATTAAAAAATATTATTGCTTACCAAATGCTCCCAATCGATAATTTATTGTAACCACGATTATATCATAATCAATCAAGAGTTTTGGGTTATATTGAACTATTGAACCACTACCAGTAACGAATGCCCCACCAGGAATCCAAAGGAATACTGGCAATGAATTATTAGAACTGGGTTTCTACAAAAAAAAATTTAATTTTTATCTATTAATATGAATATTTTTTTAAACAAAACGAAAATTATACGTCATGCATCCAGACGTAAAATCTGATTAGATGGACTCCTTGAGCTTTTTAGGTTTCTCCATAGGTTCCTCGGAAGTCTGTTCTTGCTGCGAATAGATGCAGTTTATTATGTATAGGTGTTATATATATTTTATATTTATATATATATTTATATTTATATATATATATATATATATATATATATTTATATATCGTCCTCTAAGTTAGCACGCTTCTTTTTTAATAATTTGGCTGCACCATACTGAAGACGGCCAATAGTCGGAAACGCGTATATACGGTTGCCTTTCATCGATATAACAATCTTGATTTTTGTTTTTCTATTTTTCGTACATTAGAATATTATTAAAGATAATCAATTACTGAAGTCGAAAGTCAGAGATCTAATGAAATCTCATACTTCGAGTTGGTGCTTACAAGAATCAAAATATGTTCTTATCTTATCCAGTGTGATATGAAACATGAATACGCTTTAAGTTTAATGAATAATTAATATAAATAAACTTACTACTGGTGTGTATACGTTTAAAACCAAACAGTCTTCAGTTGAATTTGGGTCGGGTTTTTGTGTACAGATTTTTTTATTTTCTGTCGCATTTAATACTCCTTCCCATGGACGATGAGGTTGGGGGGGCTAAAAATAAATAAACGTTTTATCTCAACAATCCTGATATTCTCTCTCGTAATAAATTGTCAATAAATTTACACAAGCAATAATATTTTATGTCGCATGCTCTTGTATTTTAAAATTGCAAATAATTGATCAGATAAAATATAGCTGCATTTCTATAAAATAATTTTTAAAAAGTTTGTCCAGGAATTTACGTGTGAAATTATGTTTTGATAATGAGGACATACCTATTTCACACAATAGCTATATAATTTTTAAATTAAAGTTATCAAACGAGTGCCACAAAACACACTGTCATGTTTTTTTGACTGGTCGCGGTGTATCCATTAAATCAATTGTGATAGTGCGATTAGTTTATGTTATTAGTATTGTTTAGTTTATATTTATTAATAAATAAATCAACTCAATTCTACGTTATAGTGTTTATCAATTATAAATGAAAACCTCTTTACCTCGTTTAAGCACAGTATATTGCTAAAGAATTATTTAGTAATATACTGTGGTTTAAGCATTCAGTACACAAAATAAGAGAGTGTTATAAGCAAATAGGTCTTCCTATCTCTAGAATACTATCTCTAGGTCTTCCCTTAAGAACATAAGGTTTGCTTTTTTTTTTCTCTGCTTATTGATGTTATTATTTCTCTTGGGATAATGACGATTACGTAAATCTCATGGAGATTTTGCAGCTTAATCCTTTTATTTGCGACCGTACTGTGTTAAATATTGTTTTATAGTATTAGCAACCGGTCTGTATATAAATAAAACTCTATTCATTTTGTCTCAATAGTTTGTGACTTTTTCAGGAGAAAACTGTAAATTTATTAGAATAGCTTTTAATTGCAAACAAAGTGAATATTTTAATACTTACAACTAAAAGAGTAAAAATTGTGATTACCATAACTCTTAAATAAATTAAAAACAAATATCGTTTAGTTATGTTAGCAAAATTTAAATTTTAACTATTTTATTTGTAAGTTGAAAAGCTACAATGAAAATACAAATTGATGCGAAAACCAAAGCTAGACCAATCAACAGAGGAGTTCGCCAGGGAGATGTTATCTCACCAAAGCTATTCACACTTGGACTTAAAGACAGAAACTTAAATATTTCAAAAGTCATTCGTACAATATTTGAAGAAAGGCTTTAACAAGCCGTACTTTCTCGGTAATAATCTAGGAATATATTTAGTCCAAGTAAATCGAATACATTATGGTGAAAAGCTTTAAAGTTTATTTTATGTAATCAAATCAATTATACTAATAGAAATAATAAATTGAAGTACCAAGTAAATACAATATCAAAATAGATTATCTCAATCAACCGATGAATATTTACAAGAAATTCATTGTTTCTGTCCAGCGTTAAAATCAACTATACTTGATATTACCGGCTAAAGAAACTAACAATATATTTTACCAGCATGGTGCAGGAATTCATAATTTGGGATAATGTTGGAGAAAGACGTAATTATTCCTGAACTTAATTTTTATTCCATTTAATTATGGTTTTCGTTTAAATAATTCGTTTCTTCTTGTTTACTTACTCACTGCACTTGCTAATTACTATTAAGTAACAATAAATATTTACCCTAAATCTGAGTTTTCCTACAGGAGGTTCTGCATAGGGAATTTCTTGAAAAGCGTAGAAATCGTTTCCTTCGGCACTTTGAAGAATATGTCCACGGATTTTGCCCAAATTGTCCAACTCAACTATTAAGTCATCTTCCTTATATTGCGTTTGAATTAGAGGTGTCGAAAGTACCTAGAATAAAAAGTAATAATACGATTAGGACTAAGAATATGATATTAAGAGTAGCTAATGATGCATCCAGTGCTATTTTCAATTAGGGCTCACATATACAAATTTCAGATAATTGATATTGCGTTTTGACAATGAATATTAATTTCGAATTTAAAACTTTATAAGTCGAATGGCTCGAGTTCGTTCGAAAAAATATTGGATAGAAATAAAAATATGAAACAATTTTGCATAATCGTATTCATGAGACATCCTGGTATAAGGTTGAAGAAGTCGCCAAGCGAAAACTGGTCCGAATTTAAATTTCTACATTTGATTGTTTCCGATTTATAAACATAACAATTTATGACTGAAAACAATAAAAAAATATCGATTTTCAAGGAAAATTCGAGTTTCAGACCATCGAGCATTTCGTCTTGTCTATTGAAACAAAGGTTTATTTTATAATTTACATAGTGAGTTAACGTTTCTAATAATAAGCATTAAGTAGCTATAAGTTTATTTTTTTTTATTTTTGGAAATAAAATTAATATTTTCAAAAAATGTTTAATTTTGAATTGTTCATTTTGTTAATACTAAAATAAAACAAAACTTACCCCTTTAGTTGCAACATAGAGCAACGAGCAAAAAATGACCAATCTTAAATGCATGGTTCTTCAATTTGACAATTTTCTTCTTGTGTGACTTTATTTTATATACAATTTTAATTGCTGGGACATATCTTTTATCAAAACCCTTCAATAAAATAATCGATAAAACACTTGACAGATTGTATCAATAAATATGATTCTCCCAAAATTTGGTAAAACCAAAATTATTAAGATTAATTTGATATGAAAAACTGTTGTAGACAATTGAAATTATAGGTAGTCTAAATATATTTGCTTATTAAATCAGCTTTTTCTTACACGATGATTATAAAATCTCTTTTCTAATTAGGTATAATAATTGGAATCATATTTAACGAATTGAACGATGCTAGTTGTGTAACATATTCATTATTCACTAAATGATGTCTATTATATCTATGACACAAATTCTGTGTATATTAGGAAACACCATCATCATTATAGTTGACTCGATAATCCATTGTGGATCTTTGTCTGTGGATTCTCAATATTTTTGTGTCGCAAAGATTGATAATATAAAAAAAATTATTCTGTTTATACTAACACAAATTGCTTTCGTTTGATCTTAATTTCACATTGATATTGCCCGTCAAATAAATATAAATATTTTCACTTAGGTTGGTGATGCAGAGAAGAGAATGATTTGGGGTGATGAGAACACTCTTCGTTGAACCGCTGCCAAAGCAGCCGGTTTCATTGTTTAGTCCGGATTTTCTTAAAATTCGTTATTGTTATTCGTTATTTTTTTATCGGAAATTCAGTAATGTGTAGTGTAGTAGCAGTTAGAGGAGAAACAGATTGTGTTCAGAACAGCACATATCTCGGTATATAGTTTTCAAAACAAATTGGTTTTTGTTTAATTTCATGAGTTAAAAGGTGAACTTAATCTCAAAATGCTATTTGGCAGTCTTTGTTTAGTGAGTTAGTTATTCACCGTCTTGTTGGATAGTTGGATCCTGTAGTACATGAGAAGGGGTTTTAAAAACAGCGTTTTCAGGGTTTTAAGAAGTTCACATGGTTTTAAGTGAGAACTAAGCAGCCGAGTTTTAAAAAATACATTTTGTTATCATCCAGGATAATCTAAAGCCCAATTTAATGTTTGACCTCAACAAAATTTCTCCATTTTGGGTCTCCATAGGTCATTCCAGATTATTTGCAGTTTATGTGGGAGAGTGTGTTACATTTGTATAAAATTCAAAAGTAATAAACTTTCTTAATAACTTAAAAGAAAATACACAGCCAGTGACGCAAGTTATTTTTTTCTGAAAAATGGCTTCGGCAGAGACAATTAGCCAGACTTGTTTTTGTTTGTTGTTAAAGTCGACTGAATTTTAATTATTATTAATTGTAGATTTATAATCTTCCAAATTTTCTTGTTATCAGAATGTAAGTACTACATATTTATACCTAATATTTTTATGGATATATAAATTTTGTTTTGATATATTTTTATATTGTTTTTTATTCCTTTATTATTTTCCTGTTTTTTCTTTTGTTTTTTTTTGTTTTGCTTCTTCTTTTTTTGTTTTTTGCTTGTTTTGTTTTTTTGTGTTTTTAGTATTTTCTTTTGTTTTTTTTTTTTGTTTTTGTTCTATTTCTATTTTCTTAATTCTTTTATGTATTTTTTATTAATTTGTGGAATACATTTGTTTTTGTTTTTTATTTTTTTTTAACCATATTGTCTTGACCCACGTTAACGGTGAGGTATACAGTGCTAGTCAAAAGTCCGTTCCCCCTTTGTATCTTTTGAACGGTTATACTTATAATAGTGAAATTTGAAGGGAGGTAATAAACAGACGTAGGCTTCTCAACTAGTTATAACAGGCGCCGTAATAGTGACATATAACTTTACAGCGCCACTGTGACAGATAATTTTAAATAGGACCTCATGGCAAGTGATACCTCGTTTGAAAGGTATTGAAAATACCTATTCAGTCATAATAATTTTATTTGAGTTTAAGCTCATTTTGATAAATAAATTAAATAAATAAGTACTAAATTGTAGTTTCGCATTTAATTATTAAATAGAAAACCTCCGCCTCTGGTTACTTGTCAAAAAGTTGACGTTTTTTAATTCTCTAGTTAATTTTAGTTTGCAAAACCGTTTATAAACCAATATATAGTTTCTGTTTCTCCTTAGTTTAGTCAATTCAATTTTAGTGAAGTTATTTTTAATTAGTTGTTCTTAGTTAATATTTAGTTTAGTTAGTTAGTTTAGTTTAGTTAATTATTCTTTACAGAAGCAGAATGATACGTACTGTATCCGATAAAGTAGCAGCTGTGTTGCTAATTGGTAAATGAGAGATACCCCGATCGCCCTATATCGAGATTTTATTTGAGAAAGCTTCTTAGGAAATTTAAACAAATAGGTAGTGTTCAAGATGTCAAACGATCTGATCGACCAACAATTAGTGAGGACAAAAAAATTGACATAATATCAAAAATGGTAGTGAACCCTACTTCTTCCACAGTTCAAGTTGCATCTATCGATGGAATCAGTCAAAAGACAGTACACCGAGTGTTGGCTGAAAACAAATTTCATCCATACAAATTAAAAATTATGCACCAACTTTCAGATGATGACCCCGACCGAAGACTAAAATTCTGTGAAAATATGTCCAATAAAATTAACCAAATTAGCCAAATTACATAAAAACAATTTGTTTTAGTGACGAAAGTACTTTTTCTCTCAATGGAAATGTTAACACTCACAATGTGAGGTATTGGAGTGACACAAATCCTAACGTCTTTTGTAAAACACCCTCAATTTCAAAAAAAATAAATAAATAAATGTTTGGGCAGGTATTGTGGGAAACCACATAGTTGGGCCTATTTTCTTAATACTAACTTAACCGGTGAAGTGTATCTGATGATGTTACAAAATGCAATTGAACCATTAATACTTGAAATTCTGGAGGATAATCCAGATAAATTCGACAATTTGAAAATAACGTTTCAACAAGATGGTGCCCCTGCACACCATTATGGTGCAGTAAGACGTTACCTAGATGAGGAATATCGTAGCAGATGGATTGGACGACGAGGTCTGATAGAATGGCCTGCTCGGTCACCGGACTTCACATCATTAGATTTTTCTGTGGGAATACTTGAAATCTAAAGTTAACGAAACAGCAACCGATAATATTGACATTTTGAAATAACGAATTGTTGAAGAATGTAGGGCAATTTCCCCCGACATCTTTAAACGAGTACGGCAAGAGTTTAGAAATAGAATGCATTACTGTCAGGAAGTAGATGAAGCACATTTTGAACACTTACTATAAAAAACTGGTTGTTAAATATTTATCAATTAAATAAGAAGCTACAATTTTAGTGTTTATTAAATTTATTCATCAAAATAAACATAAATTCAAACAAAATTATTATGGCTGAATAGGTATTTTCAATACCTTTCAAACGAGGTATCACTTGCCATAAGGTCCCTCTTAAAATTATCTGTCACAGTGGCGCTGTAACGTCATCTGTCACTAGTACGTCACCTGTTATGACTAGTTGAGACGTCTATGTCTGTTTATTACCTTCCTCCAAATTTCACTATTATAACAAAAACCTATCAAAAGATACGAGGGGGGAAACGGACTTTTAACTAGCACTGTAGTTGCTATAAAATATTATTTTATCAAATTAAAATAACATACGACAATTTTGATAGAACTTTTTATTGCCTAAACTAAGCGTGTTTACATAACTAAGTTTCAAATGATACTACTAAAAATACATTACAAAGCGTATACAAAAGCCCCTAGTGGAGGGGAGGTCGTTTCCAAAAAACTAACAAATTGTTACAAATTTTCCCCAAAAATATGTAAAACTGATAAATATTTCAATCTTTTAATAAGTTTCTGAAAGCTAATTTACTTAAACGTTAAGAATTAACGTTAAGTTATATAAATCTAAAATAGTAAAGTAAAACCGACAAAAGTAAATTATAATGAGACTTGAACTTTAAGTTTGTTTAGATGGACATTGAACGCTGATCCAAATAAATGACAGTTTTAGTCGAAAATCGCTCGGATCATGTTCCGGTAAAACATTAAAGCAATATTTGTGTCTGTTCCCCAATTTGTTTTATAGAAAGCTCTTAAAATGTTCATTGAGTTTTCTGATTTTTTAACAATTTAATGAATGTGATCTTTCTATAACAATTTTCTGTCTAGATAGGTAGCAAGATACTTAATACCGTTTTTTGTAGGGAAATTAAATTTTCCAACATTAAGATTGCCTTGTAGAACTCTATGTTTTTGTGAAAAGTAATACACTTCAGTTTTTGTGTCAGAATTTGATAATCCTATTTCTTCATAGCACTGTTTGACGATTTCTAATGTGACTTTCAAATTATCCTCATAGGTACTTAATAATTTTCCTGCTGCATATAAAACAATACCATCAGCATATTAAAGAATTTTTGTATGTTTGGGTATACTAACTGCAAGATTATATTGTACAGGATATGTAAAATCGAGTTTAAAATACTGTGGCAATCCAATATTAGTTAGTAGAAAATTCCTCATTATTAATTTTTAAAAAAGTTAGTCTGTTAGAATATAAAGATTTTATAAAGAATGTCTAAATTGACATTATCAAAAGCAGCGGAAATGCCAAGAAATGCAGCTGATGTAGACTGATTTGATGTAAAATTTCACTAAATTGAAGTATTGAAGTAACTAAAGCTTTAGTTGCCTCTTGAGTGGACCTAGACTTGCGAAAACCGTATTGAGAACTTGGAAGTATACCATCGTATGTTCAAATCTATTTTTAATTATTCTTTCGAATGCTTTTAAAAGACATGAAGATAAGGAGATATATCGGTAAGAACTTGGATCACGTTCTGGTCTGCCAGGTTTTTAAATCGGGATTACCAGGTACTCTATCGGTATTTATATACCGATATATACTATCGGTAAGTTATATAATAGCGAATATGACACATTGTTTATACCTGAAGAAGTATTGTTTCTTTGTTCAAGAGCTCGATGCAATTCCCATAGACACAAATTTTCGTCAAAATTGTGGTTTTCTCTGGGTAGTGTTTGGATATGTTCTTGTACAGTGTCGTTATTTGGAACCCAACCGGAGCAGCTTTTCTGTGGAATTCCTGCAACCATGTATCTTCTGGAACATTAGGGATTGTTGGCTTGTTTGCGGTTTTTAAAATAATTAACTTTTCGCCAGACATCTTTTATTGACGTTCTTGACTTTAGGTTTTCGAAAAATTCAATCTAATTCTTCTTTTTATTCTGTTTAAAGATTTTCTTTGCAATAGCATCTAGTCGTTTATACTCCATTGGGTTTTGGAGCATTGGATTCTGTTTATAAATTATAAACCAATGTTTTCTATTTTCAGCTGCTAACTGGCAATGATTGTTTCCAAAGTACTGGTATACATCATCCAATTGGCTCTGCTAAGGTTCCATATTCTATGTTTTTTGTTGGATGTGGCTACTGCTACGGAGAAACTTTGTGAAGGTTCTTGTAGAGTATTCCAACGAAAATAAGAGGCAATATCTCGGGAACAAATGGTTAAGTCTACAGCAGAAGTTTTAATGGAAATAACAAGAGTCGGAGACCTGTCGTTTAAATATTCTAAATAACAGCATTCTATATGGTTGTTGTATAGTTTCTAAAAAATTGATCCGTTGTTGAATTAAACTTTTGTTCTTGGGTTCATTATATTGAGAAATTATATGTAAAGGTTTCTTGAAATGTGAAATTTTTATTGGAATACACTTATATGTAAACGAATACGTATTTTCAAAATTTATTTCTTCATATATTATGCTGGATTTCTAAAGGATAGCACAACCGCCATATCCATTATGGTGGTCAGCTCGAACACAATTAAATTCTTTAAAATTATAATATTTTCCCGGTTTGAACCAGGTTCGATAATAGAGCTATAGTTTCAGTAAACTGCTGAACAACAGTTTCATTGTAATATGTTTATTTTATTTAAGTCTGCGAATTTGATGCTAGATTTTGATTAAAATGGTTACTAATTATCTGAATTACATCAGCTTTTAATATATTAAAATTATTATTTTGTTTAATGGAATTAACAATGGTAAGAACCGAATCTAAAATGATATTTATTACAGCCGAATTTAACTTTTCTGATCTTGAATCTGCAATGTTTAAGTTTTTTTGGTAGAATTGACTTTTAACTATTCCCTCAGGATGTTTTGAAGAGGAAACTATAGATATTATTTCTTTTATAGCTATATCAGTTAGATCTGAATTATTTGGTTTCTACCTTTTATTTGGCCTACTGGTGTTTGCGTGAGGATTAAATATAAATTTAAACTAACAACGTTTAACGTGTTTTTAAAATTTCCCAATTAAAAAAAAACAAGTTAGGGAAAATTTATAAATTAGTTCGAAGACTATCTACCATGTATCCCAGAATTTCAAAATATTCCACAGGAAATATTTTACAGGACAAAAATTTATATCCTTTTTATTTTACAAAGGTACAAGCATTGCTACAAGGTGATATTGCTACGCGTGATGAAGTCGCTATATGGTTACAAAATCAGAAAAATCAAAATGAAGATTTTTTCAGATAAATTTTGTTTTGTGACGAAGCTACATTCACAAAAAATGGAATTTTTAATTAATACGTTGGTGACAATCCCCACATTGTTCAAGAATTTAAGCATCGACACAGGTTTAGCATAAGCGTCTGGATAGAAGTAGTTGATGATTATTTACTTGGACACGTAGAATTGCCTGCTTGTTTAGATGATGCTAATTATTTACACTTTCTGCTATATGTTTTACCTGATTTGTTAAATGATCTGTCTTTTAATATTCGGCAAAGCTTATGGTTTCTACATGACGGCTGTCCGGCCAAACTTACGGGACTGTATGAGACTTTCTTGATAATAACTACGTGGATCAGTGCATTAGAACATCTGGTCTAGTTGCTTCGCCAGAAAGGTATAAAAGTTTTTGTTTATTCCGTTCTGATACACGAACGTGCACAATTCTGGCTACGGATACAAGATGTTTGCAAATATTTTAAGAGTAGAAATAACTTTTAAGAGTAGAATAAATTTTTGAAAAGACCTCACCCATAGATAATGGAAAACTAAAAAATCTATACCTTTGGTAGAAAACTGTCTAAAAATGGTAAAATATAACGATATTCTCTATAAAAGCTAAATTCGACCCTTTTACGGGTTAAAAGGTTAAAATATGTTACTTAAACTCATATTTACTCCCAAATATGTTTGATATAATTATTAAAGAAAAATTGACAAATTACCAAAACATCTTTACTGGTGGGTCAAAAGATGCAAATAAAAAGAGCCGTGCAATGTTTCAAGAAAATAAAAATTACAATCACTAGTATAGCTTATCCAGCGAATGCTCAATATATACAGCAGAAAGGATGATAGTAATGTTTGCTCTTCGGTATGTAGTACTGAATCCTGTTCTCGGACGCGACTAGTTCACGTTCGAGACGCATCGCCCCGCCCCTTATTTTTCCCGTTGGCCCCTCCCTGACCTGGAAATCCCTAATCGCTACTTCAAAAAGTATAAAAATAGGCGATTTTCAGGTCAATAAAGTCAGTCCTTCACGGGCTCTCCGAGAGCTTAGTGCTCTCGGGGCTCTGCTTCCTTTTTAGCTTTCCATACTCTGTGGCTGAGTAATTATTCAACTGAATATTTGGTGATTTTATTTCGACAACCTTAATATCTTTGTCATGTAAGAAATATCTTGCCTTTGTCAAGGCAAGCCACCGAAGACTACAACATGATGTTTATTTCGACTTTCTTAGTTATAAGTCATGTGAGAAATAGCTCGTCTTTCTCAAGACGAGACATCAGAAGAAAACCTTTTACGAACCCATACCCTGCAAATGGATTCAAGTAGAGGGGCTTTCGTCGACGTTTCCGAAGCCCTCTACAGAGCACACGGTGGTACAGAAGGTGCTTAGACCCTTATTAATTACCCCGAGGTGACATGGCGCCCAACAACGTGGATTATTCCGATCCCACGACCCAGCTCAACACGCAGCAGAAGGCAGCACACCATTGACTTCAACATGGGTTAAAGTCAAGAGAAGAATGGGGAGAACCACGGAGTGTTAGCTAACACTCCGACATCGAGGCCTTCTGCAGACCGGATGCCTTCGACGCGCAGGCACCTTTGACGAGCCAAACTTCTTCGGAGTCAGAAGCCCCTGATGCCAATGGAAGTCCAGAAGTAGACCCAGTCATCGCCCCCTACCGAAAGTGGTTGGACGACCGCGTAGGCTTCGGCACCCTGGAACTCTACGAAACCCCTGGATATGGCGGATGGGAACCAGATGACCAAGAAGAAGACAAACCCGTCGAAGGAGTTAGCACACCGATCGAGGATGGACCTGCAGGAGCCGGAGATGCCGTCAACACCACCGACCTCCCTATTAGTGCTGTGTTGTGAGTTTTTCAAAGACAATTTTTTTACTTTATGTATTTTCTTTCATATATTTCATGCATTTTTATGTGTTTTCCTTATCATTGTATACTTGTAAAATTTTGGTATTCAATAAATTTTTTCCCGACCACAGAGTCTCCAGAGGAGGGGAGATGTTCTCGGACGCGACTAGTTCACGTTCGAGACGCATCGCCCCGCCCCTTATTTTTCCCGTTGGCCCCTCCCTGACCTGGAAATCCCTAATCGCTACTTCAGAAAGTATAAAAATAGGCGATTTTCAGGTCAATAAAGTTAGTCCTTCACGGGCTCTCCGAGAGCTTAGTGCTCTCGGGGCTCTGCTTCCTTTTTAGCTTTCCATACTCTGTGGCTGAGTAATTTTTCATTTGAATATTTGGTGATTTTATTTCGACAACCTTAATATCTTTGTCATGTAAGAAATATCTTGCCTTTGTCAAGGCAAGCCACCGAAGACTATTGCTGATACTATATACCTGATGTTTATTTCGACTTTCTTAGTTATAAGTCATGTGAGAAATAGCTCGTCTTTCTCAAGACGAGACATCAGAAGAAAACCTTTTACGAATCCATACCCTGCAAATGGATTCAAGTAGAGGGGCTTTCGTCGACGTTTCCGAAGCCCTCTACAGAGCACACGGTGGTACAGAAGGTGCTTAGACCCTTATTAATTACTCCGAGGTGACAATCCGACTAGCAACTATGTTATATTTACTGACAGTAAAAGCGTAGTCGACAGATTTAACAACATTTAAAGAGTCAAACACATCAACCACATTTAACTGAAAATTCTTAAAATTCTGTATGAAACTATAACTCAGAGTAAAGACGAAGGATCCGAAATTTTAACGTGCTGACCCAAAGATGTTTGGATGGTAATAGAGATCTTTATGTATGCTTTATAGACTACAACAAGGCATTTGATAAAGTCATGACCGACTTATAGAAGTACTCAAAAACAAGAATCTGGATGTAAGGGATGTAACATTGATATCAAATTTGTACTAACGCCAACGATCAAATGTGAAAATTGGAAGGGAAGTGTCAGAAGAAGTGGAGATAAGGATAGGGGTCAAACAAGGTTGCATACTGTCGCCGTTATTGTTTAATGCTTATTCTGAAGAAATCAAACCAGGAGCCTTGATAAATGAAACAGTCGGCATAAAAGTGAAAGGAAGTTTACTTAACAACATTAGGCATGCCGACGATACAGTCATAATAGCCGACAACTTGAAAGAATAATGAACAAAATATTAAGATATAGCGGAGAATACGGACTCTCTCTTAACATCAAAAAAACCAAATTCATGAAAATTAGCAAGAACAACAATACAAATGAAATATTAATGGTAGGCAGCCAGCAGATTAAGAGAGTAAAGAGAAATACTTACTTGGAAACAATAATCACAGAAAATAATGATTATACTGCAGAGATAAGAGTCAGAATTGAAAAAGCAAGCGCCAATTTCGTAAACATGAAAAAGATTTTATGCAGCAAAGATCTGACATTGGACCTCAGAATAAGGCTTATTAAATGCTCTGTACACAGTGTATTTTACTATGGAGCTGAATCATGGACATTAAACCGGAATACAATAAATCGACTTAACGCGTTTGAAATATGGACATTTAGAAGATTGTTAAGGATTCCATGGGAAGATAGAGTCACGAATGCAGAAGTGTTAAGGAGAATAGGTAGAGAGAGGAAAATAGAAAATACAATATCTCAGACATGTAATGAGAGGCGAAGGATTTAACATCTTGAGACTTATAATTCAAGAAAAAATAGAGAGTAGAAGAAGCGTAGGAAGAAGACGCGTTTCCTGGTTGAAGAACCTGAGAGAGTGGTTTGGTTGCAGCTCAAGACAATTGTTCAGAGCAGCTGCCTCGAAGGTCAGAATAGCCATGATGATTGCCAACCTCCATGGCGGAGATGTCACTTAAAGAAGAAAGAAAAAGATGAAACTATACAATTAGAATTAAATGTAACAATTACATGGATCAAGGGCCATTGGGGAATAAAAGGGAATGAAATCGTTGACAATTTGGTTAAATCAGCATATATGCTCGGAGAAAAAGTAACAAAAAATGTAATTCCAGCGACAGATATTGACACTGTTAGTAGACAAAAACTTAAAAATAATTGACATTTACATTACAGAGAATGTAGAAGTAGCTTAAACTTCTGTCACTGTAACCCTAGGATACCCCCAAGAAGATGATTTTACACAGAATCTAATTGACATTTTATAAAGACCATTAATCGGCTAAAAGCAAATCATGCTCTTACGCCATCTTATACATAATGATCTAACACATATTATATTAGAATGTGATTTACAAATTAATAATATAAACAAACTTTTTAAGGAATTAATAAACTCTAAGTGTTGTTTTCCAATAAACCTTAATCCTTTAATATTTTCAAATAATATGAAAATTCTTCATTGCATTTACCAAGATGTTAAAATATGTAAATACAAGCTGTAAATAGTGTAAGGGCATAATCTTTTAATATGGTTTAAAAAAAAAACAAAAAACAAAACAAAAATAAAAAAACAAACAAAAAAACTAAAAACACCAAAAAGCAACAAAACAAGCAAAAAAACAAAAAAAAAATAAGAAAAAAAAAACAATTAACAAAAAACAAAAGAAAAACGGAAAGATAATAAAAGAATAAAAAAACAAAATAAAAATATATCAGAACAAAATTGATGTGTCTATAAAACATTAGGTATATGTATTACTAACATTCGGATAACAAGAAAATTTTGAAGATTATAAATCTGCAATCAATAATAATTAAAATTTAGTCGATTTTAACAATAAACAATAACAAGTCTGGCTAATTGTCTCTGCCATAGCCATTTTTCAGAAAAAAAATATTTTGCTTCACTGGCTGTGTATTTCCTTTTAAGTTATTAAGAAAGTTTATTACCTTGGAGTTTTATACAAATCATACACACTGTCCCACATAAACTGCAAATAATCTAGAATGACCTATGGAGACCCAAAATGGAGAAATCTTGTTGAGGTCAAACATTTAATTGGGCTTTAGATTATCCTGGATGATAACAAAATGTATTCTTTAAAACTCGGCTGCATAATTCTCTCCTAAAACAATATGAACCTCTTAAAACCTTGAAAACGCTGCGTTGAAAAACCCTTCTCATGTACTACAGCATCCAACTATCCAACAAGACGGTGATTACTAACTTACTAAACAAAGACTGCCAAATAGCATTTTGAGATTACTTTCACCTCTTAACTCATGAAATTAAACAAAAATCAGTTTGTTTTGAAAACTATATACCGAGATATGTGCTGTTCCGAACACAATATGTTTCTCCTCTAACTGCTACTACACTACACATTACTAAATTTCCGACAACAAATAACGAATAACAATAACGAATTTTAAGAAAATCCGGACTAAACAATGAAACCGGCTGCTTTGGCAGCGGTTCATCAAAGAGTGTTCTCATCACCCCAAATCATTCTCTGCTCTGCATCACCAACCTAAGTGAAAATAATTATATTTATTTGACAGGCAATATCAATGTGAAATTAAGATCAAACGAAAGCAATTTGTGTTATTATAAACAGAATAAAAGTTTGTTTCCAAAACTATATGCCGAGATATTTGCTGTTCCGAATCCAATCTGCTTCTGCTCTAAATGCTACTACACTACAAATTTCTGAATTTTCGATAATGACTAACGAATAACGAATAACAATAACGAATTTTAAGAAAATCCGGACTAAACAATAAACAGGCTGCTTTGGTAGCAGTTCATCGAAGAGTGTTCTTATCACCCCAAATCATTCTCTTCTCTGTATCACCAACCTAAGTGAAGATATTCATATTTACTTGACGGGAAATATCTCTGAATTTAAGATTAAACGAAAGCAATTTGTGTTATTATAAACAGAATAAAACATTTTTATATTATCAATCTCAGGGACACAAAAATATTGAGAATCCACAGACAAAGATCCACAATGGATTATCGAGTCAAATATAATGATGATGGTGTTTCTTAATATACACAGCATTTGTGTCATAGGCATAATACACATCATTCAGTGAATAATAAATATGTTACACACCTAGCATCACTTAATTCGTTAAATATGATTCCAATTATTATACACCATAAGAAAAGAGATTTTATAATCATCGTGTAAGAAAAAGCTGATTTAAAAAGCAAATATATTTAGACTACCTTTAATTTCAATTGTCCACAACAGTTTTTCAAATCAAATTCATCTTATTAATTTTGGTTTTACCAAAAATTTTTGGAGAATCCCCAAAATCCCCATTTAAATATAATACAAATACCTAGATCAAGTAAAAGATAAAATATAATGCATCCATAGACAATTACATATATTAATTTAATAAATCTAAACAGATAAAATGAGGTCCTTTGTTATTTATAGCATATACATTGATTAAATTGTTAATTGTCTGTAAAAATAACTTGTTAGAAATTTAAAAAAGTAATGTCACACTTTCTGCCCACATTTCAAAAAAGACTTTTTTAAGTACATATTTATTGATACAATCTGTCAAGTGTTTTATTGATTATTTTATTGAAGGGTTTTGATAAAAGATATGATCCAGCAATTAAAATTGTATATAAAATAAACTCACACAAGACGAATTTGTCAAATTGAAGAACCATGCATTTAAGATTGGTCATTTTTTGCTCGTTGCTCTATGTTGCAACTAAAGGGGTAAGTTTTGTTTTATTTAAGTATTAACAAAATGAAACAATTAAAAATCAAACACTTTTTGACAATATCAATTTCCAAAAATTTCCAAAAATACAAAAAATAAACTTATATCTACCTAATTCATATAATCTGCATACGTATTATCACTATGTAAATTTTATAAAATAAACCTATGTTTTAATAGATAAGACGAAATGATCGATGGTTGAACTCGAATTAGCGTTGAAAATCGTTATTTTCTTTTTGTTCTCAGTTATAAATTGTTATGTTTATAAATCGAAAATAATCAAATGTCCCAATTTAAATAAAATTGGGATCAATTTTCGCTTGGACGACTTCTTAAACCTTATACTAGTTAATATCACGAATGAGATTATGCAGAATTGTTTCATATTTTTATTCATATCCAATATTTTTCGAACGAACTCGAGTCATTCGACTTATAAGGTTTTAAATTTTAGCACGAATTGAAAATTGAGAAGCTAATGATGGATACATCATTAGCTTTTTTTAATATCATATTCGTACTCTTAATCGTATTATTACTTTTTATTCTAGGTACTTTCAACACCTCTAATTCAAACGCAATACAAGGAAGATGACTTAATAGTTGAGTTGGACAATTTGGGCAAAATCCGTGGACATATTCTTCAAAGTGCCGAAGGAAACGATTTCTACGCTTTTCAAGAAATTCCCTATGCAGAACCTCCTGTAGGAAAACTCAGATTTAGGGTAAATATTTATTGTTACTAAATAGTGATTAGCAAGTGCAGTGAGTAAGTAAACAAAAAGAAACGAATTTTTTAAACGAAAACCATAACTAAATGGAATAAAAATTAAGTTCACGAAAAATTACATCTTTCTCCAACATTATGCTAAATTATGAATTTCTGCACCATGCTGGTAAAATATATTGTTAGTTTCTTTAACCGATAATATCAGGTATAGTTGATTTATCGCTGGAAAGAGCCAATGAATTTCCTGTAAATATTCGTGAGTTGATATTCAATTTCGATGTTATATTCACTTGGTACTTCAATTTATTATTTCTATTAGGATAATTAATTTGATTATATAAAAAAAACTTTTAGGCTTTTCACCATAATGTATTCCATTTACTTGGACTAAATGTATTCCTAGGTTATTATCGAGAAAGTACGGCTTTTTGAACCCTTTCTCCAAATATTCTACAAGTGATTTTTGAAATATTATAGTTTCTGCTTTGTATGAAAATGTAGTTCACTCTTCTGTGACATTTTATAATAGTACGAACGGTGTAGTCATATTTGTTAACAAATTATGTTCCATGAAGTTTGCTTTTATCATATTTTAAAAGTATTAGAATATATTGCCAAGTAATGCAAAAAAAACGTTTACTCTTGTAACCACGATAAAATTAATATATATATATATATATATATATATATATATATATATATATATATATATATATATATATATATATATATATTTATATATATATTAATATATATATATATATATATATATATATATATACATATATATATATATATATATATATATATATATATATATATATATATATATATATATATAAATATACATAGTAATCGGTCTGTGAGAAATAAAACACTATTTGTGTTTTATGTCCCAATATTTGGTCACGATTTTGTGACTTCTTCAGGAAAAAATTGTATATTTATTAGAATAACTATTAGATATAAACAAAGTAAAAATTTCAATACTTACAACTTAAATTGTAAAAATTTAAATTTTGCTAACATATCTAAATGATATTTGTTTGATTTTAATTTATTTAGGCGTTATGGTAACCACAATTTTTACTCTTTTAGTTGTAAGTATTAAAATTCACTTTATATTTACAACTAAAATATTTCTAATGATTTTACAGTTTTCTCATGAAGAAACCACAATCTATTGAGACAAAACGAATAGAGTTTTATGTATACAGACCGGCTGCTGATACTATCAAACAATCTTTAACACAGTACGGTGGCAAACAAAAGGATTAAGTTGCAACATCTCTTATGACATATACGTAATCGTCATTATCCCAAGAGATATACGTAATAACATCAGAAAGCAGAGAAAGAAAAAAAAGAGGACCTTATGTTAATAAGGGAAGACCTAGAGAGTTATTATTGTGTAAAGTGTAAATCATATTTGTGCTTATAACACACTTATAACAATTATTTGCAATTTTAAAATACAAGAGCATGCACTATAAAA